AGAAATATTGTATGCAGGTACATATCAATTCCATTGATAGAAAGGTATGGAACATTATTCAAAATGTTCCTATTGAAATAATCATGACCAATGCGAATAATGTTGTTGTACCTAAAACGAAAGCACAATGGAACGATGATGATGAGAAAAGTACAATTATGATTGGAAATCCATAAATATTCTCATATCCTCTTTGGGAGTTGGTGAATACTATAGGGTTTCTCATTGTATGACCGCTAAGGATATATGGGACGCATTACAAGTTTCGCATGAGGGAACAAATAATATCAAACTAGCTAGAATCAATACTTTAACTAAAGAGTTTGATCTCTTTCACATGAAGCATGGTGAAAGCATTGCGGAAATGCAAAAGAGATTTACTCACATAATCAATCGTTTAAATTCACTTGGTAGACCCGTTTCCAATTATATTACTTTTAATAAAATTTTGAGATGTCTTAAAAGTTCGGATAGACGAGTTTTAATCGAGGCCGCTTTCGCATATTTTTAGAACAATTTTTTAAGCGCAAATTATTAAAACTAAGTGTTATATTCAACCCCCCTTATAGATCAGTGCCCTTGTTTAACAAAAAGATGCAACAACTCATGTTGAACAACATAATAAGTTTTTAATTATCATGGAACTTGTTGGACTACCACCAGAACTCGAATCCGTTCGTAACCAGATTTTATCAGGATCCATTATTCCTAACTATGAAGTAGTTAGTAAATAATTTTTGCGTTTGACTACACCTCATGCTTTTGAACCAAATCCTACTTCATCTCCCACTGAATCATATGTTCTTGGTTCCCACTATCACAGTCGTGGTGGACGAATTAAAGGACACGGTGGTCAACACCATAGTATTCGTTGTAACTATTACAATTGTTACGATCATATTGAATTTGAACATCGTACAAAGGCAAGAGAAGAACAACGAAAGCCATGGGTTACTATTGTTGCTCAACCGACTATCACCAAATGCGTCATTATTCTCGCCACTGATTACAATGAGTTCCTTCAATTCAAAGCAGCCTATCAACCATTATCATCTGCTATTGTTGCTCAATCTAGTAATCTTATAGCCATTATCTCTACATATTCTTTTGTTCCTCGGGTCTTTGACTCTGGTGCCTTTGATCATATGAGTGGTGATAAATATATTTTATCTCACTTATCATATTTGGATTATTTGCCTTCTGTCACTGTGGCGAATGACTCTAAAATCAAAGTTTAAGGCATTGGTCAGGCACACTCACTTCCGAACTTGTCTTTAGATTATGTCTTTTATATTCCTGGTTGTTCTTTTAATCTAACATCTGTTAACAAGCTCACTCGTAGTCTTGATTGTTCAGTCCTTTTTAATAATAATTTTGTTTATGTGTAGGATCAATGTACAGGATAGACGATTGGAGTATGGAGTGAGTTCGAAAATTATATCATCTATCTCCACTGGTGGCATAAGCTTATATTGTTTTTCAACACCTTATACGTCAGTGTTTGACTTACCATAGCCTTAAAATATGTGTTTTTTAGTTCCTAGATTTTCTAAACTTTCATCATTTGAGTGTGTGTCGTGTCAATTAGGAAAACATACTCGTAGCACTTATTGTCAACGAGTACATAAAAGTGTTGCATCACCGTTGGCTTTAGTTCATTCTAATATTTAGGGTCATAGTCGTGTCAATTCAACTTTAGGATATTATTACTTTGTAACATTCTTAGATGATTTCTCATGATGTAATTAATTATTTTTAATGAAAAACCGTTCGGATGTTTTCTGTATATTCCAAGAGTTTAATGCTGAAATTAAAAAATAGTTTGACATTTATAATAAAATTTTACGCACTGATAACGATCGTGAATATATGTTATCCTAGTTTCAATATTTTTTTAACATCACAGGGAATTATTCACCAATTATCATGTGCTCATACACCATAACAAAAAACAGTGTCGCTGAATGAAAGAATCGTCATTTAGTTGAAACCACACAGACTCTTTTGCTTGACCATAATGTACCTTCTCGTTTTTGGGGTAACAATCTCCTTACAGACCGTCACCTTGACAACCAAATGCATTCATCATTCCTTCAAGATCACATACAATACTATATCTTGAATCTGCAATGCGATATTTACCTCATTCTTTTTCGCATCTTTGGTTGCATATGGTATGTTCATAACCTCAATCTAGATAAAGACAAACTTTCTGCCAAATCCCTTAAATGTATTTTTCTAGGCTACTCACATATACAAAAAGGACATTGTTTTTTTGTCACCAACTTCAATAAAACGTTGTTTCCTCCAATGTTACATTCTTTGAAAGTTCCCCAATCTTCCCTGCCTCTATGTCACCTGATGAGAATTATACTTCAGATGTCCGAGATGTCCCTTCCATCATCCCCACAACCATTATAACTCCATTGCAGGTCTACCAGCGAAAGGACACTCATCCATCGGAGGTTAGAGATGCTATTGATCCATTGACACCATCTTCTACTCCAGCTGCTGCTTTAGTTATGTAGCCTGAACTCTACCTTTTTCCCTCTATATATGCCTTATTTCTTTTACACAAATGCTCTGGTGTTCTACACATCTTAGACCAATGACCTTTCTTTCCGCATCTAAAGCACAAATCGTCATGATTTCTCAAGGGAACCTCTTGGATATAAGTACCCCTACCTTGACGATACATGTTAGTTTGGTCATATCTGGAAAATCTATAATTATTCACATAACTTCATCCATGACCTTGACCACGAAAATGGTTTTGATTGTGATATCCGCCTCGACTAGGACCCTCAAAATGAGCATAACCTCCACGTTTTTTATTATGATTATAGCCACCATACCTTTGATTAATTGTTGCGGCATTTATCTCATATTGATATTGTTCTTGTGGAACGTGACTGATGGGTTTTGATAAGGAGCTCATTATTTTGTTCTGCTACTAGAAGGGCTACAACTAAATCAGAATACTCACAAAATTCACTCATTTTGTATTATTGTTGCAACAAAACTTGGGATGTATGAAAATTTGATTTTTTTCTTCCAAATTTTCTTCTTCAGTATAACTATGCCACAAAATTCTAATTGTGCTATAATTTGGTACATGGCAGAGTTATATGCAACAACACTTTTATAATCTTGGAACCTTAATTTGTTCCGCTGATTCATTAATGAGGGTAACAAAACTTTCCTCTGATGTCCAAATCCTGCCTTAAGTTTGTCCCATAAAATCTTGGGATCTTTTGCATTTGAATATTCTGTTTGTAAATCATCGTCAAGATGGTGTTTGATTATTTGGTTTACTTTTGATTTTTTCATTGCCATCTCTTATGGGTCAGCATCTGACTTTTCTGAAATTTCTCCTTCAAAGATTTTATCAAATTTCTCACAAGCAAGATACTCTATTAAGTTGTTATTCCATGTTATGTAGTTGTCTCCAGTTATGCTTAAAATTTTGATGTGATGCTTAACATTCGACATGATTCTATCTAAAATTCAAAAGATCGTAATCAAAATTTAATACATAAACAAAAAATATATGTCAATTTATCCAATAGCAACGATTATAAAAATCATGATCATGCTTTATTCAAAAACCTCTATTAATAAACCAAGTTAAGACTAGTAATGGTAAAACAATTAATATCATTAACGTTACATAATCTTTACCTAATTCTTCATGCTTGATAATACCAATGAGGAATAAAATAGTGACAAGTAGAGTGACAAACAAAAGAAAACATTTAGCCATTTGAAAGATATGGATAAATTTTTTAGAATGATATGAAATTTGTGAAAGAAGTTGAATTATATATAGATAAATTTGTAAAACGATCGTTATATTTACCGTTAGGGAAAAGAAAAGAAAAAAAAAGCAAAAAGAGAAAGAAACAAAATATCATCAAATCAAATTTAAAGTGTATTAAATATCAACTAACTATTACAAGGGTTTAGAGATGATTATAAAGTAACATATGGAGTTTTAGATCTCCACTAAAAATATAAAAGTTAGTAACTTAATATAAAAGTTAGGAACTGAATATAAAAGTTAGTAATAGAATATAAAAGTTAGGAATTGATTATAAAAGTTAGTAACTGCATATGGAGTTTTAAATCTCCTCACAAACTATATAAAAGCCACGCTTATTATAGAGCACTTGACAAGTTGCCAGTTTTTTATAACAAGAGGGTAAAGTAAAAATAATGACAAAAATTATTCTAGTTATAAATCACTAGACTAATTGTCAGTTTTATATAACCATGATAAATAATAAAAATTATAGCAATAATGAGATTAAAGTGATAAGTTTATAAGATATATTTAGTGTAGTAATAACTTCCGATATAAACGATCATGCTGATAACTTGTTGAGAAAAACCGATTTTGAATATTTGTTAATATTTATGAACTAATATAAGTTACTAAACTAGTTGTAATTATTAAACTTAGATAAAAAGATTGAAAAAAGGATAATGTTTTACTTGTGCTTTCAAAGTAAATTTTTGGTGTACTTTTACATTGCCCAAAGTAATATTTATACTATTAAAAATACAACTATTACACTAATGTAATAATTAGACTTATTATTTTAAGTTTGACAAATTATATATCTATAATAATTTACTGATAAATATTTCTAAACAATATTATTTTAATAATAATAGTATTATAACACCAATCACTTTTATATTTATATGATTTTTTTATTGAATATTTACAGATTTTTAAAAGGGCTTAGTTATTTAGTCCATTACGATTTTTAAAATTTTATGAATATTTAAAAAAATATACCAAGTAAAGATTTCGGGTTTCACGGATAGGGGTGTATCTTGGAAGCAGGGGTGTAGTTAACCAAGGTACAAATATAACTATAGGTTGGAGGTTTTTTTTGCTTAAAAGTCATTTTAAACTGATACAAAAAATTGTATATTCGAGCCGAAAGAGATCGCGGATTAGGGTTTTAACGTTTCGAGAAAAAATCAAAAAGATGAGCAGAAGTTTGGGTATTCCGGTAAAGCTACTCCATGAAGCCTCCGGTCACGTCGTTACGGTGGAGCTCAAGAGCGGCGAACTCTATAGAGGTAACATGATCGAGTGCGAAGACAACTGGAACTGTCAACTCGAAAGCATCACTTACACTGCTAAGGTAAGCTTTTCAGTTCATCACTTTTCATTCATTAGTATATTTTGAGGAATTTCTGGAAGAAGTGAGTAGTTGTAGTTGAATTCGTGGCCGAACAATTTGCAGATGCGGCGGCTGGGTAGGGTTTATGTTGTATTTTAGGTCAACTTACTAGGTTAGAGGAAATGATAAGTTTTCGGGCTCCGTTCCGAAAAATGCGGCATATTTGAGCATTTAGGGGTTGAGAAATTTTTCATAGAAATACAGGGATCTTTGAATACTTAAGGCTTTTATTATAAGGAAAAAATAGTGGTGTAGCTGCTTAGTTTTGATAAAGGCGTCATAGAAACAAATTGTGTAGTTGATAAAGTGGCCTTAGGATTATTACTACAAGGTGGTGCAGCTGCTTTCAAGTTGGATTTGTATTCTTTACCTTTGGGTAGGTTTAGGCATAAATAGGAGAGAGAGTGTGTGTGGAAAATATGGAGGAAAATGGAGAGAAAAGATGAGAGAGATAGGAAGAAAGGAAGGTAACTTCCTACCCAAAAGGTATAGAACTTTTGTCCTTTCAAATTGCATAGGATCTTCATTCATTTTGGATTTCTTTGAAGATTGGTTTTTTTTGCGATGAATGCAATGATATGTAAGTTGTCATAGAAGATAAGATTAGGTATGGTATGATATCATTTGAGACAAAGGTAGTGATAGTTCCTATTAGGTGATTTTCCTACCCAAAAGGGTAGAGGATTCTTGTCCTTTCAAAGTGCATAGGATCTACATTGATTTTGGATTTCTTTAAAGATTGGTTTTGTTGGGATGAATACGACGATGTGTATGTTGTCATAGAAGATAAGATTAGGTATGGTGTCATATCATTTGAGAAAAAAGTAGTGAGGGTTCCTATTTTCAGAAATGATTAGGTATTGTATATAATGACCCATAAAAACACCAGTAATTTAGTAAAGAAGATATATTAAATTGAGGATGTTCTAATATTTGTAGATGGAAATCAAAGTAAACACTAAGTTAAACTGTTAAGAGAGATTTGGGTTGCACGATCTATTTTAGATATGATTAATTATTAATAACAAGACATTATTTTGTCTGACCAATGTAGCTTGTCTCACTTGGTGGGAGAAAAGGCTTTTGTTATTTAGTTGTATGTATGCCCAAATGTTTATCATTGGATTTGTAGCCCATCTTTCTCTATATATTTAGCAGGTTATAGTGATTCTGGACATATTGTGGAAAAAACTTGTAAATTTTGGGATCTTGTGTTTAGTATTTCAAGTGTATTCATTAAAACTCGGTGTATCCACAACAGTTTCTAGTATTGACTAATTCTTTCTCAGGATGGGAAAACATCACAACTTGAGCATGTCTTTATTCGAGGTAGCAAAGTCAGGTATGAGTCACAAGTCATGCAACATCTTTTACAACTTTATATTCTAAAGACGGTTGTATAATACAATCTTATTTTGGTCATTAACTATAACAATATATTTTCATTAACTACAACAAAATACTTTCATACCTTCATATTGTATATTGCATTTTCTGTAAGGGAAGTTCTCTGAAGTGACACTGATGTGGCAGGTTTATGGTCATACCGGACATGTTGAAGAACGCTCCTATGTTTAAGCGTTTGGATGCAAGAATCAAGGTACCGACTTATTTAAAAGTGATCAACTACTATATTTATTCAACAGTGTTTTTATTTTAATGCCTTGTTTTAATATCTTGAAGGGCAAGGGTGCTTCACTTGGTGTTGGCAGAGGCAGAGCAGTTGCAATGCGAGCTAAGGTAGTTTACCTTCTTTTTTTCTTCCTTGTTTATCAATATTCATCCTGCCTTAAAAAATTGATTGTTCAAGCTATATTTGGAATAGTGGACTATGACTATTATAGAATAAGGAGTTTTAAAATATTAAAACAGGTATTAATTTCCCTTATAAATGTATTTAGTACCAATGCATCATGGTGCTAACAAGTAATTTACATTGTGCATTACTCCACCTGGACATGATGGCATCTCTTGGACACATATTCTAATGTATTCAATAATGCAGCCGAAAGGACAATGTTGATTTGGAGTTAATTCTAAGATTGAAAAATAGTTTTTAATTTATATCACTGTTAGAAGTAGAATAGTAACTCCAAGCAAAGTTTACATCTTTTGAATTGTGAAATATTTCTGGTAAAATCCCATTTGTATGCCATGCTAGGAACATAAAACATTCATATAAAGGAATGAATCCCTTAAAATTACTTGGACCGCACGGGTAGGATTTTTTTTCCCGATCCATAATATTTTGATTAACAAAGCAGACAAGTTTGCTTTATTTTGTTTTATTATATTGATGCATATGATGCATATTTCTCATGTTTTTTTGGTCAAGCAAAATTTTGCTTGGTTACGAAATGTCTACACACTAAAATATGGATTGTGCATATTTTCTGTTTACCTGCGACAAAAATGTTTCCTTAATATGTTTGTTGATTTATTTGTAGTTTTTCCACTTTTCTACTTATAGGTTTTGACATTATGGATTGTGAGATAGATATAAAAGAATCACATCGTTGTTGCACATTTTTTTACATATTTGGTTTTCGGTGTCAATGTGAACTTCAAAGTATCTGTTTTGCACCTAAAACCTAAATAGTTGAAGGACATATCAATGTTACAAGTGTGGCCTAACTATAAATCTTATTTGTGTAGGCTCAAGCTGCTGGCCGCGGAGCTCCACCTGGTAGGGGTGTACCACCAGTGCGGAGATGATCATCATTCGTATAGTCTCTATTTTCAGTGTCTATTGGACATGCTATTTAGTTCTGTTGTAGAAGTTTGTGATAGAATGAAATTCAAATTTGAACTGCGTATCAAGAATTCACACTCTTTTATGGATGGTACTGAATGCCAAATTTATTCTCATCCTGTAATTTTGTTGACCTGCTATTATCAAATTTCATAATTAGTTTAAGATAGTACCAAGATAGTGAGGTGCATAAAGACAGTTTGACAGCTCTCAAAACATGTTTACGTCTGTTTATGATAAACTTACAAGCTCTGCTTATTGACTAGCTATTGGCACGAAGCATGCATGCATTAAGAATAACAAAGTATTATCATCAGAGCTTTCCAAGTACCAAGGAACATTTTCGTTAAACATGGGAGTTTAGTTTATATTTGTGATGCGATTTTTAGTTTTCAATACTAATGCTATGGTGTTCAAATAAAATGAGTAAGTAGTTGCATAAAGATGATTCTCTAACAATATTAACATTTATTAGTTGAGGATGTGGAACTATACCAACTTGTTGCTCTTCTGGTGCTTGCACAAAGGATAGTTTTTGGATGTGAGTATTTTTTCTCTATTATTACATTAAAAATTTAAAATTACTTTGCTTCATTATGGTTGAACTCCAAATCCTTAGAGTATCCTTTCTCTAAAACCAGATGGTTAAGTAATTATCCTTTCTAAGTACCAATACACTCTTAAATTTATGTCTTCTACATATGAAGTTAAATTTATGTCTTCTACATATGAAGTAAAAATCAAAAGGATTTCTTAACTCACTCCATGTGTTTCTTAGGTACCGTGCGAGTTTTTTAAAATATCATTCATTTTCGGAGATATATCTCCGGACGTACTTGTTTCTACAACATGCATGTGTATTCTCCCCTTTGATGATGTGTGTGGGGCAGGTAAGCTTGTGTATGATCCCTTGTGTGGCTTGGAGAGGAGTGAGTGGTTGAAACTCATTACCTCCATTCGTTTAAACTGTCTTAACTTGACTGTTAAACTGAGTGGAGACATGTGCCATAAATTTTTTAAAGATAGAGGTTACCTTAGACTTACGTACCATGAGAAAAACCCAAGTATACCTTGTAAAAACATCCACACATGTGAGTAGATATTTGAAGTCAGCGGTGGAAATCATAGGTGATAAACCCCAAACATCAGCAAATATAAGTTCAAAAGGAGCGTGATATCGTGTAGTGGAATCATGAGATGGAAATCTATGAACCTTACCCAAACAACAAGCAGTGCAAAAGTCTAATTTTGATGGATGAGGAATAGGAATATTACACTTGGTGATAACAACTTTGAGGACCTTATGATGAGGGTGTTCAGTCTGTTATGCCACTGAGAGTACATATAAGGTCCTAAAGCAGTGACATTATTTGTACAAGAATTTAAACTAGCTGAAGGTAAAGTATGATCGGTGAGTGTGTGCACATAAGGTGAGTTATTAGTGGATGCAGAAACAACTTTGAGATTTTCAAATGAGTAAAGTCCATCATTTCCAAGTAGCCCTTGAAGTAGCACTTCAGAAGTAGCCCGAGATTTTACAAGACATAAGTCATGATGGAATTCAAAATAGACCTTATTGTCATGTGCAAACTAACTGACTGAGATCAACTTCTTTGTGATCTTAGGAACTAGCAGTAAGTTATTCAAGGTGAGCGTGACATGTGGTTTGTGTGCAGATGTGAAAGATGTGTTACCAAGGGAAGTTATATACAGACCTTGACCATTGCCAATCATGACTTGATCAGATTCTGAAGTAAAGATGTTGTCAAGGAAGTGATCTGTTGAATTTATAACATGATGAGTAACTCTAGAGTCTGAATACCATTGAGTATTGCCAGCTAGACTGGTTCAAGTGTCAAATCCTGCAAGATATGCCTGAGGTTGCTTGCTAGCATGAGAAGGTGTGGTAGAGTTGAATAAGAAACCTTGTGCAGGACCACGCCATTGAGTAGGAGGCATCCATTGATATGGCATCTGAGCTGGAGATACAACTTGAAACCAAGGAATTGAAAAATTGGACGCAGGTTAAGTTGCAACTGTTAGAGCACGTCACTGATTAGGTCCAGAGGGAGCCACAAATAGTCTTTAGTAACAAACCTTGGCACCATGACCAGATTTAGCACAGATCTGACATTGTACATTGGATCTTCCATCACTGTGACCACCAACATGAGATAAACGACCACCACGACCACCACAATTGCCGTTAAACTGAGGCAGAGGTTCCACAATAGTGTGTTGCGTAGTCGCATCTGAAATAGTGGACTACAACGAGTTTTGTGATTGAGAGACATTACCTTACGTGAGATTAACAGAGATAGACTCGTGAGGTACAACACATGTAAATTGTTCCAAGCGAGCTTCATGAGAGATAAGCATCGTTTCAGCCACAACGATTTCACAAGGTTGATCACGAAATTGGATGATTGAAGCTAGGGCTTGGTATTCCGGTGGCAATCCATCAACGATTGTCTCAAGTTGATCACAATGAGTGACTGGATCTCCTATTAATTCTAGAATGTCTGTGATCTGCTGAATTCGCCCTAAGTACCGAACAATTGTACGATCATCTTTCTTCATCATTTGTAGTTCATGGCACACTTGACGCGATTTTGCGTAGATCTTAGTGCGTTGGAACTGATCAATGACAGTCCAAACTTCGTGAGCATGCACGCACTTAACAACATGTGGTAAAACCGTCTTCGATAGTGTGGTGAGGAGCCAGGTGAAGAGGAGCGAGTCTTCTTGATGCCATTGTAGATACGCCAGATTCTAAATATTAGAGGCGCGATCCGTCGTGGAGAGATAGCGCGGAGGGATGACTGAATTCACTAGATGCCGGTGGAGTTTGTGGATGTGAATGATGCCTTCAACTTGTTGCTTCCAAGAGAGAAAGTTATGGTTGTCAAGCTTAATGCTGATTTGTTGAGCGAAGTTTTGAACGCATTCTTCAACGAAGAAGCTGTTGCGTTTTGAGAGGAAGAGGTAGTGCCACTCGCCAGAGAATTGTTTTCCGGCGAGGACGACGAAGTTGGTGTTGCAGGAGAAGCCATGGCTACGATGGATCACAAGCTCATGATAACATAATAGAGTTTGATAAAAGAAGCATTTTAGAGAAGAATAATATTTTGTATAACTGATTCTTAAGTGTAAACTGTTACAACCAAATGCTATTTATACAAGCATTGAGTAAATGTCAGCTCAACATAACTAACTCAATTAGTTATGACTGAGATCTAATGCTATTACATAATGCTGTCAGCTCAGCATAGTGAATTCTAAAGTTATATACTCTAATATTCAAAAATATATTTCTGGAATTTTTTCGAAGATATATTTTTAAAATAAATTTATTTATACAATTGAGATCTGACTTAAAAACAAATAAAATACATATATTAAAATACATTCGAAGATATATCTTCAAAAACATAAAATATTTTTAAAAACTTGCACGGTACTTAAGAAACACATGGATGAATTAAGAAATCCTCAAATTAACTCTCTATTAACTCTCCAATGGTTTAAAATCAACTTCAAATTATTGTCTACCTAATGTTATTTGAAATTTAAAACGAAATAAAATACCTTGATGTTTACATGATTGATACATTACAACTCTTTTTCCGTATTCTCCGAAACATTGTTTTCAATGCTTAGAAAATTCACTTTGTTTTAAGGACTTAAAAAAATATGGACATAACAATTCTTCTTGCTAATAAACACCTCTCATGTCATGGACAGAAAAAAAATGGCACACGAAATGCCCTTTACAGTTTTACGGTATAGATCAAACCATACCAAAAAAAGAGAAAAAAGTTTCCAATTTTAATTGATTGAAAACTATTTTTCAATTTCCCTTTCAAATAAAAATGATTAAATTAAGAAGAAACGATCCTGTCATTCTAAAAATGAGATAGGTTAAAATGGAGTTGCTATCCACCTAAAATCATAAAAGAATAAATCAACATCATACACTTTTTTAAAACTAAAATATTAACCTTATCTTTTATCTTTTATAATAATTAGTTAGATGAATGAATAATAATATAATTTATACTTCTAAAATTTTATGTCTCTCTCATATATTTTTTTCAATCTGTTTTTTTATATTTATTTATAAAAATTATTGATTTACTAATATAAAAAATTGTTTATATTAAAACATAAATATTTATAAATAAAGACTCTTATAAAAAAATGTTATCTTAAGAAATTGAATCATATATCAATAATTTATCTACATATTTAACTTTACTATCGCATAGTTAAAATTATTTAACTCAATTATTATATATCAATAATTTACTTCATTCAATGAGCAGTAGAATTTGAACTATTCCACTCACCCTTATTTTTTTTTATCTATCATTACAATAAATATTCCACCTTTATTTTTTAAGTTATTTTTTTATTAACCATTTATAAACTTACAAGAATTATATTCTTATAAAACACAAAGATATCAAATACAGTAATACAAGTTCGAATCCACATCAGTGTTAATTTAGTCATTATACTATGTGACTAAAAAAAATTTAGGATAATTATAATGTATTTAAAAAAGATTATATGTTTTTTTTTTATTGAAATACATTATATTTTTAGTTTAAAATTCATTCCTAAGTAGCCATGATTTGTGTACCTATAATAAGAATGGTTAAATTAAAGGTAAAAAAGAATGATCAGAAGTATTGACATAATACTAGTAGAATAATGATTAAACAAATGAGTACCACACACATTTATATGATAAAGAGTTTCAATTAATGGTGTGGAAAAATTGACAATTGTTCTTCATGACATTCCGTTTACTCTTTTAACAAGTTCGTAACTTACTTTCCCCCTGAAACTCAAACTCACTCATTTGTCCCCACTTCATTTCATTTTCATCATTCAACCTAAAACGTTACAAAAACCACCCTAATTTCACTTCTAACTTCACAACTATTCTACCTCTCTT